GCCCACCGATGAGCAATATCGGCGCACCCCTCACACGGATCGTGGACCTCGCCACATTTGGATCGCCGCCCGACGCTGAAGTCCGGCACACCTCTCACATGGATCGTGGCCCTGGCCCAACGTGGAGCGCTGCCGACGGCCCACCGACGCCCAATGCCGGAACACCCCTCACGAGGATCGTGGCCCTCTGGTCCACTTGAGAGTGGGTTTTCATAAGGACGTCGTTTTGGTTTTATTCGGGAAGGCATTTTGATTTTATTCGTTTCTGGTTCGTGATGGTTAGGAGGAGGAGGAGGAGGAGAGGAGGAGGAGGAGGAGGGGGAGGAGGGGAGGAGGAGGAGGGGAGGGAGGAGGAGGAGGAGGAGGAGGAGGAGGAGGCGGAGGAGGAGGAGGAGGAGGAGGAGGAGGAGGAGGGGGGAGGAGGAGGTGAGGAGGAGGAGGAGGAGGAGGAGAGGAGGCGGAGGCGGAGAGAGGAGGAGAAGGAGGAGGGGGAGAGGGAGGAGAGGGGAGGAGAGAGGAGAAGGAGGAGGAGGAGGAGAGAGGAGGAGGAGGAGGAAGAGGAGGAGGAGGAGGAGGAGGAGGGGGAGGAGGAGAAGGAGGAAGGAGGAGGAGGAGGAGGTGGGGGACGGGCAGGAGGAGGAGGAGGAGGAGGAGAGGAGGGGGAGGAGGAGGAGAGGGGAGGAGGAGGATGAGGAAGAGGAAAGCGAACAGGAAAAGAGGAACGCTGTTTTCTCGTTTTCCACAATGGGTTTGCGAACCTCACCTTCGTGTACTATTGGCTCTATAGCCCCTGTATTGTTTTCTTACGAGCGAACGGCGAAATTGTGGGTTTCCGAACCCCTTCTTCGTGCACTATTAGAATCAGTGGGCTTCCGAACCTCATCTTCGTGTACTATTAGCTCTATAGCCCCCTGTATTGTTTTCCTATCAGCGAATGGCGAAATTGTGGGTTTCCGAACTCCTGCTTCGTGTACGATTAAACTCCGACTATTCTATGTTATTATATTTGGTTATAACTGATTGTGTTGAACCGAACCCGAACCCGAACCCGAACCCGAACCCGAACCCGAACCCGAACCCGAACCCGAACCCGAGCCCTCACCCTTACCCATTCATTCTTAGTAGACACGAAGGTGAGGTTTGACCCTAGTAGTAGTAGTAGTAGTAGTAGTAGTAGTAGTAGTAGTAGTAGTAGTAGTAGTAGTAGTAGCAGTAGTAGTAGTAGTAGTAGTAGTAGTAGCAGTAGTAGTAGTAGTAGTAGTAGTCGTAGTCGTAGTCGTAGTCGTAGTCGTAGTCGTAGTCGTAGTCGTAGTTATAGTAGTAGTAGTAGTAGAAGTCGTAGTAGTAGCAATAGGAGTATGAGGAGTAGAATTAGTATTAGCCAGAGTCTTAGTCGCAGTATTATGCTGTAGATAAGTTGTTAATACTTTCTAGTGGCAGCATGAAAACTAGCAGTAGTATTAGTAATGCAGCTAATACCAGTCATATAATGCTTATGTTGCGCACTCTGATCGGCAATAGGGTTATTATTAGTATTCTTATCCGTGGTATTAGTATTCGCCATTCTCATAGCTCTATGAATCGTAGTGTGCGTCTTCGCCTTAGTATTCAAAGTAGGAGTAGCATTGTTACTATTAGTAGTGTGTCGTACAAGTATTGTTAATAGTGATACCGTCGCGGTTGTATGGGGGAAATAACTATACGACTAGCATTCGTAGTACTAGCATTAATGTTATTCGTATTCGTTCCATGTGTGCGAATATGATTACTAGTAGTATCCTTCTTCGTAGTCCGCTCCTTCTTACTATCAGGCGCCATAGTATGATCATTGTTGCTGTTCCTCCTCCGCCACCTCCTCCGCCTCCGCCTTCTCTTCCGCCTCCTCATCCTCTTCCTCCTCCTCGAACTCCTCCCGGAAACCCACCCAAAACTCCTCCCAGAACTCCTCCCCAAAGTCCTCCCCGACCTCCTCCTCCTCCTCCTCCTCCTCCTCCTCCTCCTCCTCCTCCTCCTCCTCCCCCTCCTTTTCGTCCGCATCAGCATCATCAGCACCACCATCCGCATCCACATCAGTAGCATCGTCATCAGCAGCACCATCAGCATAATCATCGACCTCTTCATCACCACCATTATCACCATGCAACCGTTCTTATTCATCATCACCACCATAATGCCATCAGCTTCGTCACCATCAGCACCAGCATTATCACCATCAGCAGCAGCATCATCGGCATCATCAGCATCGCCATCATCATCACAGTTCGCACTATTACCAACAAAATGAGCATCGGCATCACCAGTATCATCCTCATCGTTCTCATCATCACCATCCTCATCCTCATCCCCCGCACCCCCCTCATCATCCGCATCCTCCTCATCCACATGATCCTCCTCATCCTCTTGGCGAGCCAGTCAGATAAAGCTGGGGTATAGTTATCTTCCTCATTCCCCCTGCCATTATCTCCTCCGGGGTCTCCAGAAGCCTCCAGGGCCGAACAAGAGCTGAATGCCGCACACACACACACACACACACAACGATCCAGAGACCTTTTCTCCAATACCTTCTCTTCCTCCTCCTCCTCCTCCTTTTCCTCCTCCTCCTCTGGAGCCTCTGGAGCCTCTGCGGACGCATTACCTCTTCGAAAGACTGGCGCGAACGGGTGAATTAGTGGACGGGGAACGGGGCCCCCACAAACTTGGAAGTGGGATCCATGCCGTGGCGCATGTAACTCATGGCCCCCGCCTTCCCTGTCCATGCAGCACGCGGACGACGCGAGGCCAAGTCCTTGACCTGCTTTTTCGCGTGGCACCCGCGCTGCCTGCAGAAGAACAAATCATCGCCGATCACCCACATCCGATGGGAGCCGTGAGTGAGTCATGGCCATCACTCTTGGTATGCCAGAACTGTCTCGTTGGATAATCACGCTGCGCCGAGCAGCGCTCGCACCGCACACTCGGAACCCCCACCTCCCTTCAGCGTTGTGAAGGATGCGGCCTCGATCTGAAAATGCGAGCTGGAGCAGCAAGAAGCGCTCGTCGCCTTGCGACTGGGGCACCCTGGGGACCTTCTTGACCTCGGGAGGCTATCTACATCAGGAAATCCTCCGTCGCTGCGCTGCATAAAGGAGCCTGCCATGAGCCCCGTAAAGTGCCCACCGAAATTCTGTGCAGCCTTTAGCCGCCAGTCCATATGAGGAGCTCCTGGATGCGTCAGCACTTGCCAGCCTGGCGCATTTGTCAGCCTGCAAATTCCCAGGGAACCGGTAACCACGAGCACGAAACATCATGATTTCAAAGCAGCGACCTGCTGCTGCGCGACGGCACCCACTGGAGATTCACATTCTCTATGCCAGCATCTTCTCACTTCCAGAAGACCTTGCCCCAGTCTTCTAGATATGGGAACGAAGCTCTACCCATCACCTCAGGGCCCTTCTGGAACCTACGAGCAAGTTCTTGCGATCTGTCACGATCGCGGCCTTCGCCCCCACGAGGCGCAGGGCCACGCAAAACGCGCAGTGCTCGACCAAGCCTGCACGCTGACCTGGCCCAGCGACTGGGCCGCGCGCAACTTCCGACGCCTGCTCGCTGCCACGATAGAGAGAGACACGACTGCCCGACCTGTTCCCGTCGTCCACTCCGCCCAAGGGTTGATGCCCGATCCGTCAATGCATATCTCATCTCCTACACACCCACATCCCAGCAGGCCGCGAGGGGGTCACTCGCGCGCGCGCAACGGCGGAGGCATGGCATCTCGCATGCTGTCCGTCACCCCAGACTCTCGGCCGATCGAAACAAGCCAATTGCAACCTTGGTCTCGACGCCACGCCTCCAAGCCGTCACAGCCGTACAATACGTGCGAAATGGTGCATGCCGTCTGGCAGCCTGCTGCGGGCCCACCGCATGCAACTCCTCGATCGCCCCATTGTATTGCCGCCCCTGCTGCCCGTACTGCTGCATGGCGTCGCGCAGCTCATCCTTCTTGCTATCCAACACCGTCTCCGAGCCGATGGGCTCATCCGTGCGCTGCTGAATGGACACCTCGAGCTCCTGCATGACTTTGTAGCTATTGTCAGCTCTCTGCTGCGGCGACACCTGCTTCTGGTCCTTGATCTCCAGCAATCTGGTAGAAATCTGCCAATCCTGAGGTATTGGCCTTGTGCGCCAGGCTGAAGAGCTGGCGCACCTCTGCGATGGTGAAGTCGGAAGCTGGGTCAGTGCCTGCCTGGTCGAGCCCCACTGGCAACGGCATGCCGCGGATGTGGCCCAAGCCAGGAGGCACACTAGGGTCATCAGGGCCCTTCCCAGACTCCCCACTCCTCCCCGCAGACTTTCCCTTTGCATTCTCCTTGCCAGTCTTCCACTGCGTGCCACAGTGCTTGCACTGGGCCTGGCCGATCTCCGTCTTCGAGCATCAACAGTAGAAACACTTCCACAACTTCGCGCTGGTGCCAGCGCCATGCCACGGGCAGGAGGAAGGCAGCCGCGCGACTATGCGGAACAGCTGTGGGTGCGAGAGTGACCGACACAATTACCCTCACCCTTGGTAGGGCTTCTGATCGAGGGTCGCGCGGGTCCCTCGACCACCTCGAGCCCCAACCCCAGGGAAGGCGAAGGCCCTGGGCAACGGCTTGAGCCAAATGGCTACGGATCCTCCTCCCCATCATCCCATCCTCATCATCAGCAGCAGCATCACCATCACCACCATCATCATCATCAACATCAGCATCATCATCATCCTCATCCTCATCCTCATCCTCCTCCTCATCATCATCATCATCATCATCATCATCAGCATCATCAGTATCATCATTATCATCATCAGCCGCAGCATCATCATCATCATCGTCACCATCATCATCATCCTTCGCCACCTCCTCCTCCATCTCCTTCTCCTCCTCGAAATTCTTGACCTCCTTCTCATCATCCCACTGTTCTTCCTCCTCTTCCTCTTCCTCCTCCTCCTCCTCCTCCTCCGCCTCCTTCTCCTCATCCCACCCCTCCTGCATGAAGAGCTCAATCTGGTGGTTCTCCTGGTACCCCACCAGTGTCTGCGCCGCGCTCCTGGGCGTCAGCTGCTCAGACAACACGTCGCTGGCTGGCACCATCAGCTCTGACGGCGCCTGAGTATCGAGGAGGGTGCGGGAGGGAGAAGGAGGAGGGCAGAGGAAGTCAGGCGGAAATTTGAAAATAGAAGGATGGATACAAAGGGTGAGAAGATGGCATCGGGTCCTACCTCCTACTGTGTGGACGGAACCCCTGTCAAGGCCGTGCGGGGCCCTCATTCCATAGGCCTACCGTAGTCGGGTGCTGGGCCTTCCACAGACATCCTCGCGCAGGTCGCTGGAAAATCCACAGCCACGCCACGGCAGGACAATCACCCACCACGGGCCGACACGACGAGGCGCACGCCCCCGTAGCACGACACCCGGAGACTGCCGCACGACGCTGCCCTCCGCCACGCCCTCGGCGCACGCGGCGGGCGGCCTGGGGCACGCGGGCGCCCGCGCTCCGAGCCCGCCCCGCGCGGGCGGCAAACCAAACGAGGGGCCCCGGGACCGTGGGCGTCGTCGTCGTCGTTGTCGTCGGCGGCGGCTGCGGCGTCGGCGTCGGCGTCGGCGTCGGCGTCGGCGTCGGCGTGGGCGTGGGGCCCATGGTGAGGGGGAAACCACGGCACGGGGGGGAGCCCAGACCCACCCACCAGGTTCATCGCTCCGCAGGGGTCCAGGGCGCCCAGGTCCCACCACCACCCTCCGCAAGTCCTGCGGCCGGGTCCCCGGCGCAACTTCGATCCCGCTGGTGCAGGCGGCGCCGACTACTTTGGGTTCGCTGGCTGTCCCAGTGTGCTCACCGGGCCCCCGGCTTACGCGGAGGGTGGAGGAGGTAGGAGGGAGGGAGGGAGGAGGGAAAAAGAGAGGAAGAAGAGGAGGAGGAGGAGGAGGAGGAGGAGATAAAAAGTGGAGTGGAGTGGAATGGAGTGGAGTGGAGTGGAGTGGAGTGGAGTGGAGTGGAATGGAGTGGAGCGGAATGGAGCGGAGTGGAGCGGCGTGGAGTGTAGCGGAGTGGAGCTGAGTGCAGTGGAATGGAGTGGTCAGACTAGCACTATCGGCCGCGGCCTCGGCGGGCCTGACCTCCGAATGCTGACAATATGATTACGACCACTGCAGAGCCCCGCAGGGCCGAGGTGCCCCAAGGGGGAAGGGCCACAAAGGGCCCCCCCATCAGGCCCCCTGGGGTCGGACGTTGAGTGCCGCCCCGGGGGGAGTGGCGGGAGCAGAGGAGGCAGACAAGGCAGGTGCACTCGCGCCATATCTGCAATCCTGTCCCTCCCACCCAACCCGTCCCTCTGCGTTGGCTTCTGTTGTATCCCTTGGGCGTCCTGAAAAGACCTCGGTCCACAAAATGGCGGCACTGTGATGCGCTGTCAGACGGGGGGGGGGGGGGGCCGTGCACTTTGGAGGATAAGGAGGAGGAGGAGGAGGAGGAGGAGGAGAAGGAGGTGGCGGATGAGCAGGCGACTGAGCAGGATGAGGGAGGAGGAGGATCTGCAGCAGAAGGAGCGAGCAGGAGGAGCAGAAGGATGAGGGGAAAGCGAAGCAGGGGACACGGGGGAGCGGCAGCGACGAGGAAGACATCGGATGCAGAAGTGTGGCACTCGCTGGGGCTAGCACCAGTCTGAGCGACGGGAGCAACGCACCCATCCTGAAATATGGCCAGCGGCTCAGCTGCGACACCACGTCAGAGGACAGGACCGTTCCGATCTGCAAGAACATGAACTATCATCCAACGTAGCCAAAGACCACGCAACATGCAAAAGTGATGGTAGCACAGGAGGAGGAGGAGAACGAGGAAGGAGAGGGGACTGATGAGGAGGAGGGAGGACGCGGGTGGCAGGAAGGAGAAGGAGGACGGAGGAGGAGGAGGAGGAGGAGGAGGAGGAGGAGGAGGAGGAGGAGGAGTTTGGGGAGAAGTGGGGGAGGAGAAGGTGGAAGAAGGGGGGGAGAAGGGGGTGGAGAACGAGGCGGAGGAGGAGGAGTTCGGGGAGGGTTCGGGGAGGAGTTCGGGGGAGGTGGAGGATGAGGAGGATAAGGAGGAACTGGAGGAGAAAGGAGGAGGAGGGAGGCAGGGAGAGAGGGAGGGAGGGAGGGAGGAGGAGGGAGGAGGAGAGGGGAGGAGGGGAGGAGGAGGAGGAGGAGTTTGGGGAGGAGGAGGAGGAGGAGGAGGAGGAGGAGGAGGAGAGGGGGAGGAGAAGGAGGAGGAGGGGGAGGAAGAGTTGGGGCAGGAGTTGGGGAGGAGGAGGAGGCGGGGAAGGACGAGGAGGAGGAGGACGAGGAGGATCGGAGCTCCTCCACCTCCCCAGCATCATCCTGCTCCTGCTTCTGAGGAGGCGGCAGTGCCTGGGGGTCCAGAGCTGTCATCTTCTGGCCTGTGAGCTTCTCGACGCCTCAGAGGCACACGAGCGCTCGCGCCGCTCTGCGCCCTCTGGCCGGCCGACCAGCCAAGGCCCGATCGGCTCACTTGCGCTCCTCCTCCAGAGAGAGGGTGGAGGGAGGAGGGAGGGAGGAGGGAGGAGAGAGAGGGAGGATACGGGAGGAGAAAAAAGGAGGAGGAGTGGGAGGAAAAAGGAGGAGGAGGAGGAGGAGGAGGAGGAGGAGGAGAGAGCAGGGGGACGAGGAGGGGAAGGAAGGTAGATGGTGGCGGAGCAGGGCGTGGAGGAACGGATCAGCGGGCCAGGGCTCTCGGAGGCACGGGGCCCGACGGCCCCTGCACGCGTGCCCTCACCCGCAACAACGGAGGCACCATCACCCTCGTCATCCTCGAGCGTGCCCTCATCGCCATCGCCATCAGCACCATGCTTATGATAAGCATCATCATCGTCATCATCAGCAGCAGCATCATCATCATCAGCAGCATCGTCATCCTCATAATCATCAGCATCAACATCAGCATCACCACCACCATCATCCTCACCATCATCATCACCACTACCACCATCACCATCATCATCATCATCATCATCATCATCATCATCATCATCATCACCACCAGCATCAACAACATAATCCTCAGCATCAGCATCAGCATTAGCATCATCATCCTCATCAGCATCATCACAACTATCATCTGCAGCAGCATCATCAGCACCAGCATCATCATCACTATCACCACCACCACCACCATCATCATCAGCATCATCATCAGCAGCATCATCATCATCATCAGAATCGGCATCATCGTCATCACCACCACCATCATCATCATGAGTAGCGTCATCAGCATCGTCATCATCATCAGCATCATCAGCAGCAGCATCAGCATCCTTATCATTATTATAATCATCAGCATCAGCTCCACCACCACCACCATCATCAGCAGCATCATGATCATCAGCCTCCTCAGCCACATCAGCATCGGCATCATCATCAGCATCATCATCATCAGCATCGTCGTCGTCATCGTCATCGTCATCTGCATCATCATCAGCAGCATCATCATCACAACCACCACCACCAATCATCATCATCATCATCATCATCAGCATCATCATCATCAGCAGCATCAGCATCACAACCACCACTACCACCATCATCATCATCATCACCATCACCATCACCTTCAGCATCGGCATCATCATAATAATCAGCACCAGCATCATCATCACCATCACCAGTATCAGCATCGTCATCATCATGATCATCATTCTCACAGTCGTCAGCAGCAGCAACAGCAGCATCCTCGACATGGCCATCATCATCGGCATCAGTCTCATCGTCGTCAGCAGCAGTGTCCATGGTATCGTCACCGGCATCCGCATCAACATCATCAGCTGCAGTAAAATCCTGATCCCCATCATCGGTGGTAGCATCATCATCCTCGCTGGTGCCGTCGTCACCAACATACCCAAATATATCAGCAGCGACAGCATCAGCATCGTCATCATCATCAGCAGCATCAGCAGCACCACCACAATCATCATCATCATCATCATCATCATCATCATCATCATCAGCATCAGCATCATCAACAACATCATCAACATCATCATCATCAGCATCATCAACATCATCATCGTCATCACCAGAAGCAGCATTAGCACCATCGTGATCGCCATACTCCAGCAGCAGCGGCAACGTCATCAGCAGCATCATCAGAATCCTCACCATCATCATCAACAGCATCAGCATCATCATCATCAACAACATCCGCATCATCATCAGCATCATCATCATCGTCATCATCATCATCACTGTTATCAGCATCGCCAGTACCGTCGTAATAATCGGTATCATCGTCACCATCGTCCTCGCAATCGCCACCATCATCCTCATTACCCCCATCGTCATCTTCGTCATCCTCCACCGCCTGTGTACGTAATCCTCGCAGTCATCAGCATAGGGAGGCAGTTGGGAGGACGAAAAGGAGGAAAAGCAGGGGGAAGAGAGGCTACAGCGAGCGCGGGGAAGAAGACAGGAACATGAGGCAGAGGAGGGAGGAGGAGGAGAAGCAGGAGGAGGGAGAAGGGAAGAGGAGGAAGGAGGGAGGAGAACCATGGAGTTGCGACGGCATCGTGCCCAATATGTTCACACTGATGCGCCTTGGGGGAATCGTAGCCGTTTTCCCTTTGCGTTCCCTCTGGTTGGGTGGGACCGCAGCCATGGGCCGTGGAGGTGTCCTGTTTGTCTTCCCTCTCGCAATGTGTTTGGGCTGGGTGGCACCGCAGCCTGGAGAACTCCCAGACGGCCCCAGAAACCGCCAGGATGCCCGAAAGAGGGCGGCACACCCAAAACTAAAGCGTTCGAAAGGCCCTCCACAATGTGTTCGAGACCATAGGGGCAAGGCTTGGCGCAGGCAGCAGGGAGGGAAGGAGGGCCTCGAAGGCGAGGGGAGGGAGGGATGATCGAAGGAAGCGAACGAGACGGAAACGGCATGAAGAATCCGCCGACCCCGTCGGTGTGTGTCAAGGGCTCTTCCGCTTGAGTGGCCGTCGTCGTCGTCGCCGTCGTCGTAGGCGTCGGATCCGTCGCCGTCGCCGTCGTCGTCGTCGTCGTCGTCCTCGTCGTCGTCGTCGTCGTCGTCGTCGTCGTCGGCGGCGGCCCCCCTTCGGGGTCGGCGGCACTGGCCGCAAGGCCTTCGGAGTAGTCCCAGAAGGTGCGGAGAGGCGCGCGAGCCCGAGCACTTCTGGACGGGGCGGCAGCCTCTCCGAAAGCCTGCCGAGGAGGCGCGCCCGCACGACTCCCACCACGGCTGCGCTGCCAGGGGGGAGGGGAAGAGGAGGGAGGGGAAGAGGGGGAGAATCCTCATATACTCATTTCCTCCTCCTTTCCTCCTCCTATCCTCCTCCTATCCTCCTCCTCCTCCTCCTCCTCCTCCTCCTCCTCCTCCTCCTCCTCCTCCTCCTCCTCCTCCTCCTCCTCCTCCTCCTCCTCCGCATCCTCCTCCTCGACACAGCCCTGCGCGACGATGGGTCTCGCCGCACACCTTTGAGCTGGATGGGTGGCGCTTCCCCTTTGATGCGGGGCCATTACCACTTGCGCCACCACCCGCTCACGTTCACCCCACGGGTGAACACACGGAAAAGGGAAAAACCAAACGAGTCAGACGATGTGGAGCGAGTCAATCTCGCCCGCACGAATCTGATCGCCAGTCTTGAAAGGCTGGCGGAGCAGGTGCCAAGTCTTGTTGAGACTGTACCGTGCCGGCGCGCGCGCGAGGTTCGCCAACACGCGCGCGCCGTGGGAGGAAGCCACGGGAGGTCCATTGCACTGCTCGGAAAGCTTAGCAGAGACTTTGCGACCTCCTCCTCCTCCTCCTCCTCCTCCTCCTCCTCCTCTCCTCCTCCTCCTCCTCCTCCTCCTCCTATTCTCCTCCTCCTATCATCCTCCCATCATCCTCCTCCTATCATCATCCGCCTGTCCTCCTCCTCCTCCTCCTCCTCCTCCTCCTCCTCCTCCTCCTCCTCCTCCCCCTCCTCCTCCGAGGAGGGCGGGGAAGAGGGGAGGGAGGGGGGACGAAGAAAAGGAGCTCGAGGTTTGGAGATTTCGGACGCGCTCGGTTGCGATCGGTGGTGTTCCCGCCTCGGGATACGTTCCAGCAGCTGCGCGTCGCCGAGAGATTTCAGGGGGTGCCCGGATCGTCCCGAACCGCCGCCTGAGGCCCGAGCTATGACCCGAAAATGGAGGAGGCTGAAGGGGAGGGGAAGGAGGTTCAGGGTGTTCTCCAGAGACAAAGCGTGGCCTTGAGCTTCTAGCTGCCCCACCCACCTCCAAAGCATTTCCTTTCTGTTCCTCGTTCGCCTTCTCCCCACAAACCAACCGCCTCTCTCCTTCCTCTTCGGGGTGGGGAAACACGTGTGCATACCAGAATCGTCGCCCATCGTCCTCATACATTTCTAATTCTCTCCCTCCTTTCCTCCCTCTCGCTCCCTTCGTTTCCTCCAACTCCTCCTCGTCCTCCTCATCCTCGCCTCCTCCTCCTCCTCCTTCTCCTCCTCCTCCGCCTCCTCCTCCACCTCCTCCTCCTCCTCACTCCCCCCCTCCCTCCCACCCTACCTCCCTCCCTTCCTCACTCCACCCCTCCCTCCCCTCCCTCCCTCTCTCCCTCCCACCCTCCCTGCCCCCCCCTTCCGCCAGTTCTCCTCCTCCTCGCGATTGCGCAGGCTCGACGGACGTGGGCCCTCCTAGGCGCGCGGCCTGACGGTCCCTCCACAGGGGCGGCGGCGGGGTGGCCGCTATAGGATCGGGAGGCCGTGGTAGCAGAGGTACAGCACACAAAGGGGGGCTGTAGCACGAGCTCGAGCCGATAGGGAAGCAAGGAGGGGGGAGAGGGAGACGGGTCAGGGGGGCAGGGGCAGGGAGGGAAAGAGGAACTGGCGTGGAGGCAGCGACTGACGGGGATGAGCAGGGGGGGAGCAGGGAGAGGAAGAGAGAAAACGAGTGTGAAAAATCTAGAGGGAGAGAGGGAGAGATACTATCGTGTGAGTTTGAATGTGAGTGTCAGTGTGAGTGTGAGTGTGAGTGTGAGTGTGAGCGTGAATGTGAGTGTGAGTGCGAGTGTGAGTGTGAGTGTGTGTGTGTGTGTCTGTGTGTGCGTGGGTGAATGGGTGCGTGCGTGTGTGTGTGTGTGCGTGTGTGTGTGTGTGTGGGTGGGTGGTGGGTGTGGGTGTGGGTGTGGGTGTGGGTGTGGGTGTGGGTGTGTGTGGGTGTCGGTGTGTGGTGTGGGTACGGGTGCGGGTGTGGGTGTGGGGTGTGGGTGTGGGTGTGGGTGTGGGTGTGGGTGTGGGTGTGGGTGTGGGTGTGGGTGTGGGTGTGGGTGTGGGTGTGGGTGTGGGTGTGGGTGTGGGTGTGGGTGTGGGTGTGGGTGTGGGTGTGGGTGTGGGTGTGGGTGTGGGTGTGGGTGTGAGTGTGTGTGCGTGTGTGTGTGAGTGGTTGACAGCGTGGGCCCCAAACATTGTGTGCTCTAGTGACAGATGGTGCCAATCTATGTGGAGCCATCTGCGTGGTTCATTCTACGTGGTGCCATATGTGGTGCGATGTATGATGTGTGTTCCGTGTGGTGCAACCCATGCTGTGCAACCGATGTGGTGCAATATATGTGGTGCAATCGACGCCGTGCCACCTAAGTGATGCAATATATGATTGAACTCTATGGTGTGCAATACTTATGGGGTCATATACGTGGTGCAGTATATGTGGTGCAGTTCGTGTGCGCTCTATGTAAGACAGTGAATAGGATGCAATGTATGTGGCGCGCAGCCTATGTGGTGCAGTTGACGTGGTGCAACTTGCGTGGTGAAATATATGGTGTGCAATCCACTCTGCTGAACTTGAAGTCGTCATCTCCACTGCTCGCGCAAAACTACGACGACACCGACGACAACGACTACGACGACACCGACGACGTCTCCGACGACTTCGACGACGACAACGACGCCGACGCCGACGACGACGAAGACGACGACGACGACGCCAACGAAGGCGACGACGAGGGAGGAGGCAGGACGACGACGGCGGCAACGACGACAACGACGACAACGACGAGGGAGGAGGGAGGACGGCGACGACGCGAACGACGAAGAAGGAGGAAGGACGGCGACGCCGACGACGACAACGACGAGGGTTGAGGGAAGACGACGACGACAACGACGACGACGACGGCGACGAAATAGGAGGGACGACGGCGAGACGCCGACGACGGACGACGACGACGACGAGGGAAGAGGAGGAAGGACGACCACGGCGACAACGACGACGGAAACGACCACGTCACGACGCCAAAGAGGACGATGACGACGAACACGAGGAAAGACAGAGGACGACGTAGGCGACGACGACGACGACGACGCGGGAGGAGGGAGGACGGCGACGACGACGACGACGACGACGCAAGAGCGCGCACGCACGCTTTTGTTGAAAATCCGTGTTGCGAAACCTTGGGTTTCTGTATGTTTTTTGGACACACGATTTTGAAATCCTTCCGAAACCGATGGGTTTTGAAGGATTTCGGCATACGGCTCGCGACGACGCGCGCGTCTGCACTTCGTCTCATTTTTTGCAGAGGGTTCTCGCGACGGCACACGCGCAAGGGCGTTCGACAGATTTCGACATGCGCGCGCGAAGCCCATTTGGTAGCATCTTGTGAAAATCTTGAAAAACCTATGGTTTTCTTAAGATTTCGCAAGAGCTCGCGCGGAAGCTTCTTTAGCAAATCAGTGTTGCGAAACCCTGTGTTTTTGGATGTTTTTTGGAGACTCGATTGCGAAATCCTTCCGGCACCCATTTTACAAGGGACCCTCATAGAGGGGATACCGGCCCCCCGGGGACAGTGTAAATTCATATTTAGGATGGACATGTGGTCAGAATCAAGCATGACTTACATACCCGAAATGGGGAACCGATAACGCCAGGGGGGTAGATCCTATTCTGTTTTTAGAAAGGAGGCTCGACTTAGAGGAATATGTGGTACAATCGACGTGGTGCAATCTACGTGGTGCAGCCGGTGTGGCGCAATAGATGCGATTCAATCCATGTGGTGCAATCTATGTTCTGCAACCTAGGCGGCGACGAGGCAGCGACGAGGCGGCGACGAGGGGGCAACGAGGCGGCGACGGCGGCTACATCGGAGCCTGAGCGACAGACGGGCCCACACGACGGGCGGCGACGACGCGGTGACGAGGCGGCGACGGCGGCTGCATAGCCGCCAGGCCCATGACACGGCCCAGACGACGGGCGGCGACGGGGCGGCGACGACGGCCACATGGCCGCCAGACCTAAGGCACGGCCCAGTTCCTCAGAACAGACGTAAGAAACCCCTAGGACAAGTCCTGCTTGAGGAATAAATGTGTAAGGGGTGGGAAAAGAAAATACACAAACTAGAGAAAGAGAGAGAGCGCCTTTCCATGTCCGTGTACACACCTAAGTACATATATACACACAGATAGAGAACAACAAAATGAAAAATAAATAATCAGGAAATGGGCGGGAAAACGGGGGAGTTTGTGTGAAACCACAGGGGGTGGGGAGACGCGAGGCAGATGAGGGAAGCGAGAAGAAAGGCTGCAGACGAGGCCAGGAATAATGAATAAGGAGGCGAGCAAGAAGGGAAGGGTCACACCGAGAAAAGAGGAGATGACTGCGGGAAGAGAGAGGAGGGAAGACAACACATTCTAAGAGAAAGGGAGCAGAGAGAAGAAAGATGGACGGAGGCAGAGACGGAGACACCGAGGCACGCAACCAGGCACACAGAGCAGAGACATGGAGAGAGAGCGTACGAGAGAGGCAAAGTGTAGGGGGAGAGAGAGAGAGAGAGAGAGAGAGAGAGAGAGCGAGAGAGGGGGGGGGGGGGGGGCAAAGCGCGAGAGAGAGAGAGCGTGGTATACGAATACCGGTCTACAGATGTCAACATATACAAAGAGAGGAAAAGGAAAGAGGGGAAGGGGAAACAGAGAGAGAGAGAGAGAGAAAAAAAAAAAAAAAAAAAAAAGAGGGAAGAAAAAGAAGGGAAGAGAGGAGAGAGCAGAGAGAAGAGAGGAAAGAGAAAGAGAGAGAGAGAGAGAAAGGAGACAGAGAGGGGGAGATAAAGAGAAGAGAAAGAGAGAGAGAGAGAACAATAAATGGAGAGAGAGAGAGAGGAAAACGAAAAGCCGAGACCACGCAGAAGGGCAGCGGGCGAAGGGGAGCGCCGAGGAGGTCGTCGTCCTCCTCCTCCTCCCCAACCCGCGGGCTGGGCATTTCGCCTGAGACTTCCTTCTCATGTTTGACCCTGAAGCTTAACGGAAATTGGAATTGCTTCACAGATGGAGGACGGGTGGTTTTCGAAATGCGGCTCTCGCCGTAGCCCCGCGCACATTCGTCATAACACATTGCAAGAGCTTCACAGATTGAGAGCGGGTCGCTTTCGAAGCGTGGATCTCGCCTCAGCGCCGCGCACACTCGAGATAGACATTCGCAAGGGCTTCATGGATTGAGGGCTGGTCCTTTTCAAAAAGTGGCCCTCGCCTCAGGGCCGCGCGCAGTCATTTTAACAGTTGCAAGAGTTTCACGGGCTCCCACGGTCAACGTACCAGAAACTACGTTTTGGAACGATTCAAGATTGTCAGGGCACAGCAGTTACGTTGATTCGCGGTGTTGGAATCCCAGGAATGGCGTTATGTCGCGATTCAGGTTCGTCAAGACGCAACGGTCAAGTCGATTCGTGGCGTTGGAGTCCCGACAATAGTGCTTTGGCACGCGTCAGGATCTTCAAACGGTTGTCTCCAAACAGGGCACTTCCTTCAGTGGAAATGGACCCTTGTAGGGGCCTGTGAAGATGGAGCTCGGAGGGAGGGTTTCTCCCAACATCGTTGGTGAGTCTTGGCTTACACTGGTTCCCTCCTCCTCCTCCTCCTCGGACGTATCCAACCTCCTCCTCCTCCTCCTCTTCCTCCTCCTCCTTCTCATCTTCCTCCTCCTCCTCCTCCTCCTCCTCCTCCTCCTCCTCCTCCTCCTGCTCTCCTGCTCTCCTGCTTCTCCTGCGCCTGCTCCTGCTGCTGCTTCTGCTGCTGCTCCTCCTTCTCCTCCTCCTCCTCCTCCTCCTCCCAGACCTCCTACTCGTCAACGCGCTGCTTCCTCCACCTCCTACTCATCCCTCCTCCTCCATCCTCCTTCTCCGCGCGCGCCCCCCCGCCCTCCCCGTCCCCCCGCGAGCGCTGTCCTGGACCGTCTTCTCATCCCGAGCTGCTGTCTGACTGCCCCGGGCCCAGGAAGGGCCCCGAGCGGCCGACGATGGCGAAGCACCTCTGGACCCCTTTTACCCTCACCATTGAGAACAGAAGAACCCATAGCCCGAATGACACGATGAAGACGTGGCCTCACTTCGGTCCCCGTCTTAGCATCAGGGATGATAATTCTGGGCGACTTGGTCTGATACATCTGCAGAAAAACCCTGTCCGCAATGTTTTGGGCCCTCCTAACTTAGGCCCCTTCCCAAATGGTTAGGGGTACTTGTATTGCTTATCACCTCAGGACCCCTTCAAATCATGGCGATCCTCACCTGAACTGCACAAGCAGCCCAGGAATGCTGCCCGTGATGGGCCCCGGGAGCCCGACAAGTGCGATCACAAGCTGCAGGACCCCCCTAAAGGCGATCAACGAGCGATTGGAGGCGACGCGGCCCCCCGCTGAGCATATCACGTAGGCCTCGGGCTGCGCTCAGACAGCCCCCTCAGGTAGTCCGGGCTAGCCTCAACAGGCTCCCCCGAGTGGCACAACAGGCCCCCCGAATTGTCCAGGGCGACCTTAAAACCCCAACCCTGGGGCGCGGAGCGCCCCAGGGGCGCCGCCGGACGTG